ATCATTCAGCAGGAGTGAGCCAGTGGTATTACTCCCAAATCTGTCAGCTGCCTACAAAAAATCAGGGAGATACCCTCCATTCCTTTCCTCTTCCCTGTCATCACTGAAAAGGGCACTTCTCTGTGTGTCAGAAGGAGGGGCATCTTTTACAGGTGATTTAGGACAGGAAAGGCCCTTGGAAACACCCTCTCCAGCTGCCAGCATTGCATCTCAGGATTTGGGCCCAGAAGCCACTTAAAATATGCAAAGACTGAACAGATAGACTCAGCCCCACTCCACCTCCCCCCCCTCCCCCTTCACCCTGGAATAGCTCCTTGTGAAGTAACCACTTCCAAGAGCACTTAGGCCTGGAGGCACCAAATTGCTGGGCGTGACTGATGCTCTGGTAACTTCATCTCACTGGGGACCACAAATGCAGGCTATTCATACTGAGGGCAGATGGACAGACATTGTCTCTTCCCACTTCCTCCAGGCCAGAATATTTCCCTGGGTCAGAGGCTGAAGAGTGGGTTCCTTGAGAATTAACCCTCCAGGAACATCTACAAATAGCTGTGCTCTATGTAGTTGACTTGTCTAGATGATAAAGGGAAGGAGGTTATTCAGGAGGGGGGAGAGGAGAGAAGACAATGAGGAGATTTGTAGAAGCAGGGCTAGAAGAGACTTCAGAGGCCTCCTTATTTTACAGAGGAGGAAACTGAGTAGGAGAAAGGTTAAGTGACTGCCTAAGACCCCACTGGTAGCAAGAATCAAAGGTGGGGCCGAAAGCCAATCTTTGATTGTATTGCATCCTGCAGAAGGAAGACTGGCCTGAGAGTCAGGAGATGTGGGTTCTAGTCCTCGGACCTTCCCCTTTCGGGGCGTCCTTGTTCTCCCCTGGAAAGGGGAAGGGGTGACTTGTAGGACTTCTAAGGCCCCTCCCAGTTCTGACCTTCTATGGTTCTCTATGAAAGAGAAGAGGAAGAAGACTGGGTGAAAGGGAAGGTGAGGGAGAGAGAGAGGAAAGAGCGGGAGACCAAAAGAAAGAGAGGAGGGGAAGAAAAGGGGAAAAGGAAGAGAGGGAGCACATACCCAGGGACAAAAGGCCACAAGGAAGAAAGAAAGGAGCGAGAGCATACCATTCATAGCTGAGCCCGAGGCGAAGCAGATGGGTGAGAAAGGCCAGGCGGCGAAGGCCGGCTCAATTTCTAGTGTAGGGGAAGGGGGGCATCTGTGCCTCTAAGGCTCCCTCTAGTGGGACCTTCTTTCTTCAGCCCCTCTCTGGTCGGAGGCTGCCTGACCAACCAGCCTGCTTGGTGCTTGCCCAATGGAAGACTTTGTAGGGGCTCCCAAAGTGTAAGAGGAGGCCCCTGGCCTCGGGGATCTTACTACCTAGCAAGAGGAAATGAAAATGACCAGGGTATATGGCAAGTCTAGGGGAAAATTTACTGGATGTGGAGATCTCATTAAAATTCTACCCTTGCCACTTATATCTTGTGTGACAAGTCCCTTAACCCTTCTGGGCCTCCATTTCCTCATCTGTGAAATGGAGTAGACTATATGATCTCCAAGGTTCCTTCTGGCTTTATATCTCTGATTCTATGATAACCCAGGCCTCCTGACCCTCAGGTCTCATATACTATATTGTTATTGTCATTCAGTTGTTTTTCTGACTCTTCGTAACCCCATTTGGGGTTTTCTTGGCAAAGATACCAGAGTGGTTTGCCATTTCCTTCTCCAGCTCATTTTACAGATCAGGAAACTGAGGCAAAGAGGGTGAAATGATGTGCCCAGAGTCATACAGCTTAGCAAGTATCTGAGGCCAAATTTGAACTCAGGAAGATAAATCTTGCTAACTCTAGGCCTGGTATTCTATGCAACCCCACCACCACCACCACCACCACCACGCTGTCCATATATACTGTATTACCCTTCCCTAAGTTCTAGGGCTATCAATCAATAAGCATTTATTAAGTGCTTACTATGTGCCAGGTTCTGTATTAGGTGCTGGGGATACAAACATGGAAATGAGACAATCCCTGCCCCAAGGAACTTCATTCTAAACTGAGGACTTCAACTTCTATACATAGACAGGTCTGCTTACCTCTACTTCCCAAGAGCACTTCCCATTCCCAGCCCTGATTCTAAATGTCTAAGGCATAAGAACATAGAATTATAGATTGAGACCTTTGGGGAGGGCATCTAGTCTAACCTGGTCATCTTACAGTGATGGTACTGAGGACCAAAGTAACTTGTCTAAGACCACACAGGTATTAAGTGGTGGAGTTGGGATTTGAACCTAGATTCTCCGACACCAAATTCAACGGTCTTTTGGCTCCCAGAGAGGCTAGTTTATTTATTTATTTATTTTTAATGTATTAACACCTTTTGATATGATGCTTTCCAACAAACATTCCCCTGTAAATTACACCATCTAAGCCAATTGTTATTAACCAGCCTGTTAGTTCCTATTTTAATTTAAGGCTTTCCCCTGTTATCTTAAGAACAGACAGACCCTTTGGTCTAGCTAGCTGTGACATCCTCTTGGCAAGCATACTCTCTCCCTAGAGCCAGGCTGGAACAGGCCCTGTTAAAGAGGCTGAGCCTGCCCAGTTCTGTTGCCTGCCTTGCTGAGTTTCCTCTTCCTGTTTTAATCCCGGTGGGGACAACTTTCTTCCTCCAGTAAGGTGCTCTCCCATCCCCCTCCCCTGTGCTACAAACCTCTTCATCCTGAAAGAGCCTTGCCCTGATTGCACTCCTTTATGGGGAACCCAGCTGCTGTAAAATCCCTATCAGAGCCTGGTACTTACCAGGGGGAGATTTATCTATCCAATTCCTCTGGGGGAGTAGAATGTCTTTGGAGATTTACTGAGAGAATACATAACCTAAGAAAACCTGCCCAAGGGGAAAAACCCATTTCTCGCATTAGAAAATGAAAGTGGAGAGCTTGGTGCCGTGTCATTTTTTTTTTAGGATGGTTTTTTTCAACTGTTTATTTTTAATTCTATTTTTATTGATACATTTAGTTTTTTTCAATGTACCCCTCACTTCCGAGTACATACTGCCTTTCCCTTCCCCAGATAAGAAACAGTTATAAGCTATTTCTTAAATAAAAAAAGAAAGTAGAAAAAAAGAAATTCAGTAAAACTAATGAATATATTCACCGAATCTGACATGTATACAATATTCTATACCCACACTCTTTTTCTCTCCAAAGAAAGGCAGGAGGTGTATTTTTCTCCTGTGGAGTAGTTTTTAAAAGATCTTACTTCTTCCCTTCACCTCTTATGTTGGTAGTTCCTGAATGTGCTGTTAGAGTCAAGGGCAATGGATTTGGGGGAGAGAAAAAGGAATCTATTTATTTAAATTGATTGATTTTTATTTTATGTTTTTACTGCTTTATCTCTAGCTCCCCAAGAAACCAGGGTGAATTCAGTATTTTAATGTGGTCATGGGGACTAGGGGTGGGGCAGAAGATTGCTGTTTCCTCCTTCACACAGCTCAATTATTTTGTTCCTCTTCTTTCTGTCTCTCACAATCTGACTTCCTTCCCAGACCCTTATTAAGAGAAGAAAACAAGCCGAGAGCTTTCTGCCTAGCCCCACCCTCTCCTGCTGCAGTCCCCTATCTGTCTTCTCATCCCTAATCTACCCTTAGACCACTGTAGCCAGAATTTGTGTGGGGGGGGGAGGGTGGGCCCTAGGGGAGAGCAAATCACCAGACAGAATCAGAATGGGAAAATTCACAGAATGTCAGAGCTGAAAGGGACCTTATAAGTCATTGGCTGAGGGTCTATCTGTGATTAGTACCCTACTAGGCAGGTGCTCTACAGAACAAGCATAACAGATATGATCAATCAATTGACAAATACTTACAGAGAACTGACTTTACGCAATAGAATTTCAAAGGAGAGGTGGACTGAAGTAGCCAGTCCAGAAGGCTGCATGGATTTCAGTACAGGCCCTCAAACAGGATTTCAGCCAGGCCTTGAAAAACTGCTAAAATTTTCAGGGTAGAGAGAGGAAGCATTTTAGAGAGAAGGGAAATCCCATGGACAAAGCAAAAAAAAAAAAACCAAAAACCAAACCAAACCATGGAGTTTACAATCTAGCTTGTCCTTTCTCCTGTGGTCTCACTATCCCTGGTCCTCTAAGACAATCCCAGAAGGTTTCTTTGGGTAAGTCACTCACACTGCATCGTAAATCCTCTGCTTAAACAAATTCCTCCCTTCTCACCTACCCTAAAAAGGTAATGTGGTCTCCTGAAAAGGGTGCTAGACTTAGCTTGAGAAGGTACCAGGTTCAAATCTCAGCTCAGTTACTTATTCGTTGTGTGTCCCTGGGCAAGTCACTGAATTTCTCTGGGCCTCAATTTCCCCCCTTGTAAAATGAAGGAGTTGGACAAGATAACTTCTAAGTAGGGGTGCGCCGGAGCCAGCTCATCTTGATGGAGCCACAATGGTTAAATTTTCAGCTGTGAGCATTTACACCGCAGAAATCGGCAAATGCCATACATCAAGGCTTGCTTTTTTGTTGTTGTTGTTGTTGTTAATTGTCCAGACTTTAAAAAGTGATGAGAAAATGTTGATAATTTAGCTTGAACTTAGAAGTGTGTCACTTTTGTACTTTTTTTTTTTTGGAGAGCTGATTGTTTAACATTTACCAGTATACCTTCGCTCTAAGGTCCTTTCTAGCTTAAATTTTATGATACTCTCCTTGTTTCCCTTCTCTTTAATCCAGTAATCTATCACATCATCTGTGCAATAATACTGACTTTGGGGACTGTCACTGAAATACAGTTTGTTAGGTCCTCTATTCTAAGGGATATAGTAAAAAAGTCATTGTTTCCCTGGGTCCCAATAAGTTAATACTCTGAGCTGAGAAGTACCTAGGAAATTGTTCGGATTGTATGCTGGGGACGTGAAAGAGTCAGGAGGTTAGAAAGAGTCTTATAGGAAGGGGTAGGGAAACTCAGGTTGTTGCGAGGGAAGAGAAACTCTGAGCTAGCCTTTTCAGAGAGACGGACAGTCCAGGCCTTTCCAAACTCTCGAGGAGGTGGGTGGTTTTTACCACAAATTAGGAATAAGGCTTTGGGGGAAATATGAAGAGGGCTGACCTTACATACTCCATGAGCTCTACCAAGATACCAAGTGAAGGTGCTTTCCAAGAAGAATCTTCTGACACACCAACGGTATGTAATTTCTCCAGAGATGAGAATGGTTGGATACTGCGCCATCCCCATTCTCCCCACCAAGGATCACACATCTGGAGTTGGACGTTAGGGGCCATCTGGTCCAACAGATGACTAAACGGAGAACCAGGGAGGTAAGCATCACAGACAGTATTTGAACCCAGGTCCTGTGATCCAGTTAGGGGCCTTCTTAGTCAGTGTTACCTTACCACAAAGCTGTGCAATAGGTAGCCATGGATCTGGGAGAAGCAAATTGGGCTACAGTGGGATCAAATCCATCACCTTGGTGTCTCTCAGAAGGGATGCTGACCCATCGAACTTACTGAACAAGACACAGATAAGCTTACAAGTCAGAGCTGTAACTAGGGCAAGGTGACAGGGGCTTTGCCTCTGGGTGCTAAAATTTAGAGGGTTCTGCCAGTACCTAAACTCCAACAGTGGAGAAACTACTGAATTTAGCACCTGATTAGCAAAAATAGTTAAAATAAGAAACTAACAGATGGTGTACATGTTTCTTCTCCCCAATTACTATATCCTAGGTGGGCTCTGCCCCTTATCCTATGGTAGAATAGCTTTGCTATGTCTCAGGGTTTACACCTATTTGGATCAATATCTGAGTGCTTTTTGTGCCACCTGCCCTAGTATGTTGTATAAAAATCTCCCCCAGTTGTGAAGATTCTAGGTATGGCTCTGCTAAACCTGTGTCCATATATAGAAATTTGGAAGAGACATATGGATTCTCACACATAGTTAATACACCTTCTCCACAGACTCTAAATATGTAAAAACTTTATTTAAATGTCATAGGATATTTCAACTCACTGGATATGTTTATACTGCATTGTACATAAGCCAAGGGAGACACAATTTTAATTGTGATTCTTCACTAAATGAAATTTCAGACAATTGGATTTCGAATAACCAAAGTTCCTTTGGCATTTACTACCTTTGCCCAGATATCTGCTTTATTAACAAAGAGCCAACTCAATTCACATGCTATTCCCAACTCCTTTCCCTCTCAGTTTTGTGTCCCAACCCTCTTTCCCTGGTACATATGGGTACTCTTCCACTTGTACACATTGGGCAGAGCAGTAGACAAGACCATGGCAAGAGGGCCCAGTGCACATTTTGCAGACCAGCTCTCATAGGAACCAGATCCATTTCCATAAGTCCTCTACAATCCTAGTTGGACAGCTCCAGAGCTATGATAAACCACAGATAAAACAGGCCACAGTTTTTTCCTAGGGCTAGTCTGCTGATCTCTGACTTCCCTGAGGAAAAAAAAAAAGGCTTCCTGTAATAGGCATATGCCTACTGCCAGCTCTTGTCAAGAGAGATGTGAGCAATGCCAGCCCAGCTATAGGAAGGGATTGTGGGCTCATACCCCTGGACCATAGCCTGGAGCTGTCCAGTGTGGGTGGTGGATGTTGTATGAGGTCATGTTTTGAGGGAGGAAAAAATGTGTAGAGGAGAAATGCCATACAACTAAATTAATAAATATTTATTGAGTACCTGCTAGATATGAGACACTGTGTCCTGAGACAGGGGTCCTGCCCTCAAATAGCTTACAGTTTGGTTGAGGAGGGAGAATAAAATACGCATGTACTTGGAACAAAGTACATCAGACAGGATACGATCAAATGCCAAGATGAGGGATACATATGCTAACTGCTATGGGATTTCAAGGAAGCCTTCAGGGAGGAGGAGGAAGATGGCAAATCCTCTGGGCAATAGGGCAGAGAGGGGCTAGTGTGCTGGCCTCAGAGTCAGGAAGAAGTAGATTGAAAGTCCCACTTTCTATCCCCAGAAGCTATCTGAGGGCAAATCACTCCTTTGAGTTTCAGTTTTCTCATCTATACAATGAATATACTAATACTTTTTTGAGGCCATGGACACTTTTGGCAGTCTGCCTATGGGCCCCTTCTTAGAATAAGTAAATGCATAAAACAAAATATCTAGGATTACAAAGGAAACCAATTATGTAACAAATAAAATTACTTCAAAGAAATTCACAGACCCCAGGTTAAAAACCCTGTTCTAGGGGGATAGTGTTATCAGAGTGCTTTGCAAACTTTAAAGCAGTGCGTGAAAGTCAATGAGACTTTCAAACAGGCAGGAAAGAAAGGGGGAGGCTACTTTAGGCATGAGGAACTGCCCAGAAGAAAGAGGAACAGTGTGGTTTCCTTACCAAGACCCCTCAGAGGTTCCTAAACTCTCTGTTCCTCGGTGGCTTTCGAGCTTGCCTTTGGTTCTGTTTTCCAAATCTGCAACCTCCTCAAGCTTCCTCAATCTGGCTAGGCCCGCCGGGCTGAGGTAGATAAAGCCTGAGTAGCAGACAATTCTTGGTAGCCCAGGAGAATCGCTGACCAGGCTTACAGGAAAATCAGGTCTCTGGACATCACAGGCCCAGAGTGGCCGACGGTGGAATGTTCCAGAGATGGATTGGGGTGGGGGAGCGGTAGGGGAGATGATTGACAAAGGGCATCCCTTTGCATTGGAGCCGGGCCCAAGGCTCCAGCCGACAGGTATCATCAGAGAGCCGAGCCCATAATTGTGTTTCGTTTCAGCAGACAAGGAGGGCCTGGGCTAAAGACACCGAGGCTGCCCAAGCCAAGTCACCAAGAGGTGATTCAGCAAAATTCCTGAGACCTCATAATTCGCATGTTCTTCCTCTGCTCCCTCGTGCCCAGCCCCCCCCACCCCACTCTGCTGTCTGCAAGAGGGCTCCAGAATGATACACTGCAGGCTGGAATAAAGCAGAGTGTTGACTTATATGGTATTTGTCCAAGCTTTAAGGTGATTCAGCAAAATTCCTGGGACCTCAAAACCCCCCAGTGTGACTGCCCTATTCTTCCCCTCCCCCCAATCTTCCACTCACTCTGCCGTCTGCAGAAGGGGCTGTAGAATTGGGCGTTGCAGGCTGGAGTAAGGCAGGGTGTTGACTTATATGGTGTCTGTCCCTTCTTCACAGCTGTAAAAACACACCCTCCCTCCCTCCCTCCCTCACTCACTCACTCACTCACTGACTCAGGGCAGGGCCTCCCAGGCAGGGAGCCAGCAACCTCCAGTGACACATCAAGGGAGGGATGAAATCGGAAGAAAAAGATTCCTGGGGCTGGCCTGTGTGCTGTTGCCAGGGCCAAGGGAGGAGGCCAGGAAGAGGAAATCTAAATGAACCAGGTCACTTTGGTCTTTTGGCAAGGGCCTTGCTGCTGTCCCAGCTCCACCCGGCAGGGAAGAGCCTTTTTCCTTCAGTCACAGGCATAGAAGTCAGTCCTGCTGGGCTTTCAATGGGAAAAGAGGCAGGAAGAAGCTGGAGGTGGTAGGGGATTGAGAAAGGTGCTGGACGGGGTGGGGAAAGCCTGCTGCCTCCATGGCAATCTACCACTGAGGATTTATTAAGTACCTACTAGGTGCCAGACAACAGCTAGAGGGTAAAGTGGATCAAGTTCTGGGCCTGGAGTCAGGAAGACTCATCTTTCTGGGTTCAAATCTGGCCTCAGACACTTACTAGCTGTGTGACCCTAGCTAAGTCACTTAACCCTGTTTGCCTTAGTTTCCTCATCTGTAAAATGAGCTAGAGAAGGAAATGGCAAACTGCTCCAGTATCTTTGCCAAGAAAACCCCAGATGAGGGTCACAAAGAGTCAGACTTGATTAAACAACAACTAAATGACAACAAAATGTGCCATACACTGTGTTAGGTTCTAGAGACAAAAAAAAAAAAACAAAAATGAAATGGCCCCGACCCTCAGGGACCTTATATTTTAAAGAGGGACATAACATGAAAACATAAAGTTATATACAAAATGTATAGATTACATGCAAGGTAATTGGGGGGGGGATACTAGTATCTGGGGGGACTCAGGTAAGGTGGTATTTGAGCAGAGCTTTGAAGGAAACAAAAGATTCCAAGAGGAAGAAGTGGGAAAGGAGGGCATTCCAGGCAGGGGAAACAGACACAGCAAAAATATGGAGATAACCAATGGATACTTGTGCATGGTTGGATCCAAGCCTGAGTTTCTCTGGGCCTCAATCAGCCCCCATATTTGGACTGGATGACCTTGCTCAATGGAAGGAAATCACCCCCTTCCCCAACTGAGAAAGCCAAAGCGTCCCCAGCTGACTGGGGGCTGGGCCTTGACAACCCAGTCCTAACCAGAGCACCTGCTTAGTGGACTTGGGCCGATTCTTCACTGGCTGTGACGATACCTGGATGCATTGAGCTGCGAGATGTCAGATAGCCGATCTGAAGGTACATTAGTCTCACCTGTTTCATGTCACAGGCCCAGGCTGAGAGATGGATGGACAGCCCCACAAGTTGGTTGGTGTCTTTGTGTAGTCAAGAGAAACTGAGGAAATCTCCAAGCATATTGAGTGCTTTGGTTAACTTAGGGGAGGGCATGGAGAAGAGACACACTGTGATGTCAATGGTTTCAGTCTGGAGGGAATACCTCAACTGATGAGATCACAAATCCATTTGAGTTTAGTTAGCTCTCTGGAGTCTACTGCTAGACTGTAGTAATAATAATAATAATAATAGCTAACATTAATATAACACTTCTACTACTACTACTACTACTACTACTACTACTACTACTACTACCACCACTACTACCACCACCACCACCATCACCACCACTACTACTACTACTACTACTATTACCACTACCACTATGACCACTACAACCACCACTACTACCACGGCTACCACTACTACTACTACTACTACTACCACTACCACTACAACTACTACAACCACCACTACTAC